GGTAGAGTGCCGTAGTATCACAGCTCACAGCAACCTCTAACTCCTGGGCTCAAGTGAGTCTCCTGCCTCCGCCTCCCAAGGAGCTGATTTTTTGGTTACAGCCGTCGTCGTTTGGCGGGCCGGGCTGGATTTGAACCTGCTAGCTCAGGTGTATGTAGCTGGCACCTTAGCCACTTGAGCCACAGGCACCGAGCCCTGGCCAGTTTTCCAAAGGACTTTTTTATTGGCCTTATAAAGTCAACCTTAATTCCTTAACACAGTCTATTCCAGCCAAAGCCTTGGTCATGTTAGGCTCACAACCAACCTGGCCACATGGGATTCTGCCTCAGTCTTTCACAAGTATGCCTGCACAAAGTCTTTTCACTGCTCTCTCTCAAACAGCTTATTTGGCCAGAGGCATACAGGCGTTTTGCCTATAAATGAGGATGTTGGATTAGATGACATTTAAGGAATCTGTGGTTCCTCTCAAATGTTTAATTCATTCAGCAAATGTTTACTTAAATGAGCAGCTATTTACTATAGACCAGATATTATGTTTGTTTCTTAAGATGAGTTAATGTCTGCCCTCAGAGAGCAGTTATAATCCAGCATTAATTGTTGTGTTTGTTTTTTTTTTTTTAAGAGTCTCTGTCAACCTTAGTAAAGTGCTCTGGCATCATAGCTCACAGCAACCTCAAACTCCTAGGCTTGAGCTATCCTCTTGCCTCAGCCTCCCAAGCAGCAGGGACTGAAGGCATGCACCACAACGCCTGGCTATTTTTTTCTATTTTTAGTAGAGACAAGGTCTGGCTCTTATTCAGGCTGGTCTTGAACTCCTGAGCTCAAGCAATCCACCCACCCTAACCTCCCAGAGTACTAGGATTACAGGCCTGAGACACCATGCCTCACCAAATTGTTGGTTTTGCTTTAACTCTTGTTTACCACCTGCCAGTACCACTGAAAATTTAATCTAAATCTTCATAGAGCTAATAGTTAGGTATCACCTTTCCACTTGAGCCCAAAACTGCCTATTTAAAGTTAGTTTTTTGCTAATTCTGCACTCTAGTTCTCAATCCTGCCTGTTTTATGTATGGATGATAGTATTTCTGAGAGTTTGAAAGAAAATAGGATGAAGGGAATTTCTTTGATTATATTTGGTTTAGAAGTCACACTGTGGCTAGCTTTTGAAGCTGTCCTCACTCTGGCAGTTCCTTGGTACTCTAACTAGCAGCTGATTTCCAAATACAAAGTATAGGCTGTGCAAGTTGGCTCATACCTATAATCATACCTGCCTCTGGGAGGTAGAGACAGGAGGATTGCTTGAGTGCAGGAGTTTGAGACCATCCTACACCAGAGCGAAACCCTCTCTGTACTACAAATAGAAAAATTAGCCGGGCTCGGCTCCTGTTGCTCAAGCAGCTAAGGCACCAGCCACATACACCTGAGCTGGTAGGTTTGGATACAGTCCAGGCCCGCCAAACAACGACAACTACAACCAAAAAAAAATTGGTGGGCATTATGGCGGGAACCTGTAGTCCCAATTACTTGGGAGGCTGAGGCAAGAGAATTGCTTCAGCTCAGGAGTTGGAGGTTGCTGTGAGCTGTGATGCTACAGCACTCTACCCAGGGCAACAGCTTGAGGCTCTGGCTCAAAAAAAAAAGAAAGAAAGAAAGAAAAATTGATCAGGTGTGGTGGCATGTGCCTGTAGTGCCAGCTACTCAGGAGGCTGAGGCAAGAGGATCATTTGAGCCCAGATTTTGAGGTTGCATTGAGCAGTGATGATACCACTGCACCCAGGGCAACAGAGCGAGACTTGTCTCAGAAGTAGAATAAAGTAGGCCAGGCATGGTGGCTCACACCGGGGTAATCCCAGTACTCTGGAAGGCCAGGGCAGGTGGATTGCCTGAGCTCAGGAGTTCAATACCACCTTGAGCAAGAGCGAGACCCCATGTCTTAAAAAAATAGCTGGGTATTCTTGGGAGGCTGAGGCAAGAGAATCGCTTAAGCCCAAGTGTTTGAAGTTGCTGTGAGCTATGACACTACGGCCCTCTACAGAGGGCAACAAAATGAAACTCGGTCTCAAAAATAAAAATAGAAAAACTAGCCAGGCATTGTGGCAGGTGCCTGTAGTCCCAGCTACTCGGGAGACTAAGGCAAGAGGATTGCTCAAACCCAAGTGTGAGGTTGTTGTGAACTATGATGCCACGAACTATGATGCCAGGACACTCTACCCTTGGGCAATCTACCCTTACCAAGGGTAAGGGAGTGGGACTGTGTCTTTAAAAAAAAAAAAAAAAGAAAAGAAAGAGGGCTGGG